AAGTCAGTAAGAAAGAATGTATTGTAAATCTAGCATGTCATTAAAGATTATTTCTTTTACAGATGCAGAACCCCCCCCCCCTTTTTTTTTTTTTTTTTTTTTTTTTTTTCTGGTTTTTTTGGGGGGGNACAAAATTTATTAATCAAAAATCAAAATTAAGTTCGAAAGACAATTTTTTTTTTTTTTTTTGTAAACATCTCAACACCTCTTAACATTCATATTATGATTGCCAAACGGCAGCAGTGGGGTGGGAGAGGGGAGGTGTAGCTGCTTGCCTAATGTCAGCATCCAACTGGACCCACCTCAGCAGACAAGCCAATCTGGTCCACGCGTTGACGGGTGACATCCGCTAACGTTTGTCAACAGTCCTTAACACACTTTTTAAAAAAATAATAATAAATATGTAATATGTTTAGTCAGCATAACTGTAGTTTCATTGCTAGTAGTATTTATTAGTTCACATCAGCACAAGTCGACTTATTATCTGTACATCATGTCATCAGCTAATAACTCATTTTTAGTTTAATTATATTACCTTTTCGTGTATTCTCTGTTTTAGCCCAAGAAAAGCTCTAAAAAATCTGGTCTTTTTTTTTTTTTTTTTTTTTTTTTGAAGATCAGTTTACATACCGTACTTTTATAAAAAAAAACTATTATCATATGTAAAATTAATTTTGAAACCAATATTTTACTTTTGAACATGCTCTTGTATAGATATTTGACTGAGTACGCAATAGTGTCAGGGTGTAAAGCTGTCAAAAATATTAGCGTAAGAGAATCATTTGTTCAAGGCTTTAAATGAAGATGTTGTTAATTTTTTTTTAATTACGTCCTGCAGCTATTTATAATTGATGAACTGTCAAATTAAATTTTGATGTAACGTTCACCGTCTAAAATGTATGGATCTTCCATGATCGTACGGAGCCATAGATCATGAATGCTCCAATAACTATTTTTTTTGTTTTTCTTTTACAAAATTCAATTTCAAACAAATGTGCAGTTTGATCATAGTCCCCCGTCCCCCCTCTCCACCTTTTGACGTCCTTCGCTTGAACAACTGGAAAATATTATTAGGATTTTTGGGGGGAACCACTGACCACCAGCTGTTTGCTCGTCTTTGTGTGTGTGAGAGGGGGGGGGAAGGGGGGGGGTGTTTGACAGTGAACATGGTAAATAGGTGACAGTGCTTGATCAACCAAACAACTTTGTCGACGTGGCTATGTGATTAGACACTGGTCGTGAGTAACGAATTTAGGGCCTTCAGAATTGAGCACGCTCCCGAGTCTTTCTCTGTGATTGGCGATTTAGTGTTAGTTTTTTGTGTAATGGGTTTAGGCTCTTAGAGCAGGGGCTCTCTGTCGCACCCCCTTCCTCTTGATTCTCAAAAACATTTCCCTCTGCCCACCTGATTTTGTGGGTCTTCCCGTACCTCCTAACACCCCGTCACGCACGCCCATGGTTAAGAACAGTGGCGTAGCTAGGGTTAATGCCACCCGGGGCGGGACGATATTTTTTCCGCCCCCCCCCCGGCCCCACTTTTTTTTTCCACGATAAAAACTCTGCAGTTGGCCGAAAATGCCACACCTTCCATTTTAAAGAAGAAATTGCCGTCCTGGTCGGACCGTCGTCGCCCCCCTCTCCCCCCCCTTCCCCATTTCTCCACCATTGGTTATGACCCCCAGTCTTAGAGGGTCTTATTCTGAAGGGTTGTAAAACATTGCTAGCGGTGCAGCCTTTTTTTTTAAAATTTCTTTTTGTTTTTTTTTTTAAAATATTAAATACATACACAGATAAAATGCTTTTTCTTTTTTACCTGGTCGGACCGTCGTCGCCCCCCTCTCCCCCCCCTTCCCCATTTCCCCCCCCTTGGTTCTGCCCCCCAGTCTTAGAGGGTCTTATTCTGAAGGGTTGTAAAACATTGCTAGCGGTGCAGCCTTTTTTTTTAAAATTTCTTTTTGTTTTTTTTTTTAAAATAATAAAAACCAACACGGAGAAAATGCATTTCACTTTTTGATAGTGTGAGCATCTGACAGGCGGTAAGAGTTTCCAACCAGTTGATCGTCACGTTGATGTACACTTGTTGTGCACCGAACAGCTGACTATGCAAAGTGTTGCGGAATGTATGGAGTTTTGTTTTTAAATAAGGAACGGCATACTGCGCATTTACTTTTTTTTTTTTAATAAGGAGTATGTATTAGGCTCACAAATTATTATTGTATAGGTCTACACACGTAATTAGACATTTAGAGGGCGACTGCACGTCACCGGTCACAAAAATGAACTTTGATCCTGACATGTTTCTGGTATGTTGTGACGTTTGCACTGTGGGCCTTTAACGATAATTATGGAGGCGGTTATAGACTAGCGTTGTTTGAATGCTTGAAGTATTTTCGCTTTGACTTGTAGGCGCGTCATTTCGATCATATTATTATCCTTCGGGACATTGCATTGAAAACTGTTTTGACAATAAAATGATTTGAATGTAAGCTTTAAGTGTTATGTATTTATTGACTATAGCTCGGGTATGTACTGTCTGTTGTGGGGAACTGAAACACTACTCTAGGTCAGTGGCTCCCAACCCATTTTTTTTTCTTACTCACGGTACACCTTTTTTTTTTTTTTTATTCAATTTTTATGTTGGAGCCTTTAGGCCCACTCTTTGTTTGACAATACATTTTTTTTTTTTTCTCTTGGTACCTTTTTTTTTTTTTTTTTTAATCAATTTCTATGCTGGAGCCTTTAGGCCCACTCTGTGTATGACAATACTATTTTTATTTCCTGGGAGCGGCCGCAGAGCCCATGTATAGTGCACGCGACGCCCTCAGGGTTCCGCGGAGCACAGGTTGGGAACCACTGCTTTAGATTATTATTTAATAAAATCCAACAAACAGCTTAGCCTTGCACAATACAGAAGGGATGATTTCTCGGCCTTTAAGTTGTGATCATGGTCGATAAATATTCCCTTGGGGTGTTAGACTGTCAACATGTGACATGTGCCGTGGAGACACGTTAAAAAGATTATATATATATATATATATATATATAATAATATTATGTTTTCCGAGAAGGCAAAGCTGTCCATACAATTTTTAAGGCGCAGATTTGTTTTAATTCAACCGCAACGAAAATAACATATACTTTGGGGAACGGAAGGGTTGTTGAAAAATTAACCCCCCCCCCCTTTTTAATCGATTTAAAAATGTCAATGTTTTAAAAGATGACGACTCTTTTGGGATTCAAAACGGGTGTACATCATTTATACTACTAGTTCCATTCCCTTACTGCGACTCGCTGCTTAGTTTTAAACAAACACAATCTGGATAGTTTTCATGCATCCAACAGTGATTTCCCGACCATGGTTTGAGGACCCACTTGAAAAGGGGGAAAAAAAAGAAGAAGAAGAAAAAGCGGGACAGTTACATCGCACGATTCTCGTACGACTTGTACAAAATGTAGGTCAAAGTCTGACATTGGATTAGTGTTTCAATTTTTTTTTTTTTTTAAATCCATTCACTGATTGCGACACTTCGATAATATCTGATGGTGAATTTTATAGAACATCGTTACGTACTGTTATCTGGTTTTAACAAATTGAATACGGTATGTTATAAGATGTGGCTGGTTAGACGAACAACGTAACGAAGGACTGAACAACCAGTAACGGTATACAAAGAAAAACGATACCGAGGCTGGTGATATTAACAGTAAACAAAGTAATGATACAATTGTGTTGATGTAAAAATACAAATTCAGAAATACAGAAATTAAAAAAAAAAAAGATTTTGTTTCTTTTTTTTCTTTCTTTTTTTTTTACATTAAAAAGGCCGAAACTCGGTGAAACTGCCCTTATAATTATCAAAAAAAAAAAAAAAATTTAAAAAAAAAAAAAAAAAAATTTAAAAAAAAAAAAATGTTAATGATTGATTTATATGTTCATTATTAAAAGTATAATATTAAAAGATTGTATGTATAGCTTTTTAAAGAGATACGAAGTCACATAAATTAAAACTGGTCCATAGAAAAAAACACAAAAAAAAAAAAAAAAAAAAAAAAAAAATTTAAAAAAAAAAAAAATGTTAATGATTGATTTATATGTTCATTATTAAAAGTATAATATTAAAAGATTGTATGTATAGCTTTTTAAAGAGATACGAAGTCACATAAATTAAAACTGGTCCATAGCAACATCAAGTCAAGTTTACAACAGGAATTATGCATCGTGGAAATGCGATAGGCCTACATAACAATACATAACATAGGCTACTGACAAGACTGTGTAACTGTGTACAATCCAACATAATTAGGTGATTTTAGGGGTGCCATTAGGTTTAAATATAAATAATGGTAGTAGGTAGGCAGTAGGACAACTACTTGTCCTTGCTGCGGACTGCGGAGTTGGAATATCACTAACTGGCCCTTTTTAGGCATTTCAAACTAAATTTAAAACGTCGTTTCCATGATATTAAGTTCATTAAGCTTATTTCACTGAGTGAAGCGTATTTTGAAGGCCGCCAAAGCGTTCCCTAAAATATACGGGCTGCTACTCTCCCCCCCCCCCCCCCAAGTCAAGCCATGCATCCCTCGCCCCCATTTGCCCATCTGAACAGCTGACGAAGCTAAACATGACCTATCGCCCTATGCTTGAACCTGCCTCGAGTTCCGGTGAAGGATAGTAAAACTAAAACCTAGTTGAGAATAATTCATCGCATGGTTGTTGTGTGTGTGTTTTTAATAAATAAAATTTTATGTTTTGTTTTCCTTTACTTGAGCACAGTCCATGTTTAAGAACTTGTGTTATCACCCTTGACCTACTGATACACTGATTTCATTCAAAGTAAAATATTTGTTATTATTCTCAGTCTGATTCCCTGTGGAAATTTAACGAATCAGAATGCTTGGAAAACTGAAAGAGGCGTGGCTTCAGACGCCGGAGAAGAAAAAAAATTTCCACACTCCTTGTCATTAGTGGATGAGGTGATAGAATTGATTTAACAGTCTTTGGAGTTTTGGATATAAATACCGGTTGAACTTTCCGGACAGTTACTTTTAATAATTGTAGGGAAATATTACCGAACGTAAAAAAACAGAAGTGTTTGAATTCGAATTTAAGTGTGATTTGCTGATTCGTACAGTTTCTTGAATAAATCGACAACATGCCTGCAGGTTAGTTCTCTTTGTTGTCACTTTGTGTGAGTGTTGTGACGTTTCCACACTACATTATTTGATCTTGTGTGTCCCCCCAGGTCACTTCCATTGACCATTACAGTACTGCAATACATTTTCGCGTGTGATATTTCTCATAATTTCTGGTTTCGTTTCTTGTTAAGAGTAAATATCTTAGAGATTTTGTTGTAGCTATTAATTATCCCATTTAGAAATTGAAATAAATAGAAAAAAGATATCTAATAATACTTAATATTACAATAAAATAAAGTGTCTTTTCATATGTATATTAATTATATCACCCCCCCCCCAAAAAAAAAAATATATAAAAATAATAATAATTTTTTGTTAAATGATTGATTAATAAAAACTACCAGTATATAAAAATCACACAAACTTTCTTCTATACAAAGATAAAGAGTGATGCAAGCAATTATAATAATTTAATTAGTGCTGATTTATTGAGTTTGACATTTTTACTAAAAATAATTCGATCGTCCAAAATGATTGAAATAATATCTCGTTGCGCCGCTGGTTTACTTTTATATTTAAAAACATTGGAATACATACGACCTATTTATTAATTTATGTAATTGAAAGCATATGCACTTATTTATTTTACATTAAGTTAAGTATGATAAAGTAGCCTAAAACTAAAAATAAACCATGTTACATAAAAAAATGTCCTGATTTGGCCTAAAATGACTTAATAAATTATCATCCTTTGTTGTGATGGTTTAGATGGATAGTTGATAACTTGTTATACGACTATTTATTTTGGGTAGGCCCTACACCCATGTCATGTCATGAATTTGTTATTTTAGTATTCAGAAATAATAGGTAATTCCTCCATTTAGTCTCGGAAATATCGGAACACGGAAACTCGGCAGAACGTGACGTGATAACAAGCTGGCCAATCACAAAATATTTTCATCTCAAATGACCTATATTATGAATAGCGGGGTCAAATCTCGTTGTCATGCTTTGATCAGCTGATCATTCTTTGCTCCCAATTTTAAACACATTTTCTGACATCTCGTTTTCCCTATGCATTGTAACAATTTACAGTACGTGACTACAAGTAAACAAATTTCCCATTTCAATTAAATTAACAATGCTAAATGTATACAATTACTAGTATTGGAACGTTTATAATTTATACAGTACACACAACACAATTATTTAAACTTAAACATTCATTCATTATTAATTACAAGACTTTTTTTTTATTATACATTGACATATTCATATTCAAAGTTTAGGTCTAACTAATTCACTTTCGTTTATATTCTGTCTAATCTTCGTGATATATGAGACTCAACAATTAAACCGTGTATTTTTTTATTTTTTTTAATTTACAATCGGCGCGTTTAGTCACTCTTGTACCCTGACCCATTTACTGTTCCAGATCCAGTTCATGGTTAATAGGGCAACGTTCTGGTTTGACCTATTTGAACAAACAGGGCACATAAATTGACGTAACAAAAGACCCAATTACCAATAGTAAAAAATTTTACGTACTATGCAGTATGTCACGCATTAATTGTGGAAAGAGATTATAATATCAATACAAGTGTCTGCATAGAATATAGATCGGCATAGTCTATGACTATGGCATAGAAATAATGAAGAGTCCATGTCTAGAAGTCAAGGGGTTATAGATATGCCGCCCGTTAGTTAGTCAAGTCACTCTGACGCTCAAGTCAGTGGAGTGGCATTGACATTGGCAGTGTTGATTTTTATTTTTGGACGACGAAACTGAGTTAAAATCAAATCCGAAGTATTCTTAAGTTTGAAGCTATCCATACGATAAATCAAATAAATAGTGGAATAAGCCTAAACATTAACTTCTTGTTCCACTATTTATTTAATTTAGGCTACACAATTTTATTCATGAGCCCCCCCCCCCCCCCCAAAAAAAAAAATTTAAAAAAAAAAAAAAAAAAAAAACCCACAACAAACTAAACTCAATTAACCTTTAACAGAGATCAGAAAAGCTATGCTGGACTATTGGAAGGAGCACTCAAAAGAAGGTTCAGTGAAAGAGATGATGTTAGACACAAAAGCTGAAGAGCTCACCAAAGAGGAGCTACCAGAGATTCTGTCCTACCTGCCAGATTTTAGTGGGAAAACAGTTATTGAACTTGGTGCTGGCATAGGGTAGGTCTTCTGATCTTGGGAATGATATAAAATTAGGAGCAGAGGTGTAACTGATTGAGTGAACATTTTAGACGTCTGCATTTTTTCCATGTCTAGAAAAGAAAAGGTTTTGGTTTATACCCCCCCACCACAAAGAAAACAAAATTACATGTAAACTACATAGACATATATGGCATCCTGCTGTCTTCACCTTCCATAATGCTCTTTATGTTGCAAGGGTTTTTTACCTGTAAAATGATTAAAAAGAACCCAATCCAGCCCCTAAACAATGGCACTGATGTTTAAATAGCTTTCATCCTTACAACACTGATTAAATCTTATGGACATGTAGGATCAGATCATTTCAAGTCTGAGTAACCTTCTTAAATCACATTTTTGAACCACTATTTTCCTTGTTTTTCTATGTTGTCTTCAAAATATGACATAAAATCTTTCATTTGTGTCCATGTGCAGATACCTGTACCGGCAGCCATAATCAAATACTTGTATAGTTTCATCTTTCAGATACTTTGAAAAAACAACAACAAAACAATGCATAGAAGTCTAATTTAATTTTTAAATAATAAATAAAATTCTCACTTATTAAAAATATACATTAATCAAATTTTATGTCAAATTTGTTATCTCGGTTTCAAATTGTTCACTGCTTATTGTTATACATCTTTGTCCAGGCGTTTTACTGCAGAACTGGCGAAGAAAGCAGAGAAAGTCATTGCTGTTGATTTTATGGAAGACTTTGTAGACAAGAATAAAAAGGCCAACCATCACCTAGGAAATATTGAGTTCCTTGTGGCAGATGTGACCAAGATGGAGAGACCAAAGGACGGGTAAATAAGTTATTTTTTTATTTTAAGAAAATTATTTTTAAAAATATATTACTTTGTGTAATTTCAATGTGGTCTTATAATTGTAATATTGTCAGTCTCTTGACAAGAGATTGTAGGTTTAAAATTCTTCGCGCAAAAATATTTGCAGTCATTTTTTTTCAGCTAGAATTTGACAGAAGTAAAATATGTAATGTAATAAAAATAATTAAATATCTAATCACATACAAATTTTATGTAAAAATTATTTTCTGATGTCAGATTTAATTGGATAATGTTTTTCAAAACTGTCCTGAATAATTATGTAGACAAACGTGAATAATTGATAACATTTTTCTAACCCTTCAGACTATAAATGCACAAATACATTTTGAATTCCTGCGCAGTTAAAAAAAGAAAAAAAGAAAAAAGCTGTGTCATATTTGTCTGTTCAAAAAAGTGTCAAATTATCTATTTCAGTGTGGATATGATCTTCTCAAACTGGCTTCTGATGTACCTAGAGGATAAAGAAGTACAGGACTTGTTTGGAAAGCTCCTGACATGGTTACAACCAGGCGGTTATCTCTTCATCAGAGAATCCTGCAGACATCAATCTGGTTAGTGTTATATTACATGTTCAGTCAGTTCTTAAATCTGAGACTTAACTTGATTGTGTAACTCTAAACCGATACTGGAAACTGAAAAAAGTATTTTGTCTACTAAAACTGGTCACTGTATCAATATCCAAGACTAGATACAACAGCTTTTTCAGAATAATGTATACTTCAAAAATGAATTTTAATGCTTTAATACTAAAACTAAAACCATGCAAAATTGATAAATCTTTCATACAATTTTCCTTCTTTCCAGGAGATAAAGATAGGGGCAACAATCCCACCCAGTACAGGAACCCAGAGTTGTATGAAGCCTATTATTCATCCGTCATGATTCCATGCGATGATCAAAACTTTTATGGCTTTGATCTTGTGGTGTCTAAGTCTGTACACACATACATCAAGGTAACCTCTTTAACATTTTGGTATATACAAAATACCTTTTATTGTAATACCGTGTTTAAAAATTAAAAGCATCACTCAAATTATGAAATACAGCTGAAACTGGCATATTTTTGTTACAACGGATTAAGTTGTATCATATCTTCATTTATTCACAGATTAAGGTAAGACATTGTCCTCTAATAATTTGTCTCAATACTTGTCTTCTGGCTCATCAATTAAAATTATCTGGGGTTTTTTTACAGAGGAAAAACAACAACAATCAAATGTTGTGGCTGTTACAGAAAGTAAAGAAAGACAACTCTCAGAACCATGGCTTCAAAAGTTTCAGAGAGTTCCTTGACAAACAACAATATTCTACCAGAGGCATCTTGCTGTATGAGAAAATATATGGCCGAGCCTTTGTCAGTACTGGTGGACTTGAAACAACAAAGGTGAAATGGATATGATGGATACATATGGAAATAAAATATATGGCTATGGTGTTAAAGTTTTAAAAAATAAAATTGTTTGGTTGAGAACATTAAGATGAAATGCGTACTTCACAGACATTACATTTAACTAACGATCTAAGAGAAATAACATAAACCACCTAATCTAATCAACAAAGAGAGAAAGCAATTATTTTAAAAAAAACAATGCATTTTTTTTTTTTTTTTTTTTTTTTTTTTACTGATTTCAAATATGATTTTCAAACAAAGTCTCTAACAGCTATTAACCTGCTGATACATTTTTTATGTGAATAAATGTTTATCCAGTTATTTTATTTCCTATAAAAAAAAAAAATCAAGTTATGAACGCTGTTAAAATAACATACTTCCTTTCAGGAATTTGTAAAAATGCTGGATCTCCAGGAGGGTCAAAAAGTGTTGGATGTTGGTGGTGGTATTGGTGGTAGTGCATTCCATATGTCAAAGGTAAGGTAACAAAATTATTAGGAAAAAACATCTCTACGTCTACTTTCGTACAACTTTGATTTTAACAAATTTTTATAAAGTCAACAACCAACAGTTGATATCCTTGAAACTCAAAAAAATAGTTTTAAGTAGTGAATACTGAAATTTTTAATGGCGAATAATTTCAGTATCTAAAACGCATATTTTCAATCAAGTTACTGAATTCATAAAATAAATTCAGTGTTGGTGCTATAATTTTAAAAAAATAATAATAATTTGTTTAAATTTCAAACATTTTTTTCCCCCACTAGAACTATGGAGTGAAGGTCACAATTATAGATTTATCATCCAACATGACCCACATTGGATTAGACAGAGCCCAGGAAGTCGGCTGCAACCCAGATCAGGTGGTTTTTGAAGTGGCTGATGCAACAAAGAGGGAATACCCGGCTGAATCATTTGATGTTATCTACAGCCGTGATGTCATTCTCCACATCTCAGACAAGCTGGCACTATTCAAAAAATTCTTTGTAAGAAGCATTATGAAAAACAAAAGATCTAACTTCTTTTTATCTTTTAAATGTGAAGAATATTGAAAATTAGTTCTTAAAAGAGGGGTTTGGGTGAGGGACTTTATCAAATCAAAAGCTAAAAAAAAATGCATTTTATCTTTTATCCCAGAAATTCTTGAAGCCAGGTGGCAAAGTTCTCATCTCAGATTACTGTTGCAGTCCAGATAATCACTCTGAAAACTTCAAGACTTATGTAAAACAAAGAGGCTACAATCTACTGTCTCCTGCAGCATATGGGAAAGTAAGGGCACAATAAAACGTTTGAAGAAACTTATAGGCTACTCTTAACATACCTACTGATACAAATTTTAAAGCAATATTTGATCTTTTTTTTTTAAAGTCAACAAAGTTTTTAAAATGTTTTTTACTTGAAAGGTTATTTTTATATTATAGAAATATCTTAAAATCTCCCTATGGAACTCAAATTCCAATTCACTATTATGTTTTAGATAGTTTAGTATTGAAATTTAAATTTTTCAAGAAATTTTACTTTTATCATTTTTACCCCCTCAGGTGTTGGAAGCAGCTGGTTTTGTTAATGTGAGAGCAGAGGACAGGACACAGCAATTTGCTGATATACTTAGAACTGAGATTGAAAGGACTGAGAGAATAAAGGATGAGTTTATACAGGTATTAGAAATGATATTGAAAGGATTGAGAGAATAAAGGATGAGTTTATACAGGTATTAGAACTGATATTGAAAGGATTGAGAGAATAAAGGATGAGTTTATACTGGTATATTTTTTTACAATATATGTTTAAGCGTTTAGTTTTTTTTCTATAACAGTTTTTGAAAGTTTAGAATAGATGGAATTAATCATTATATTTCTTTATTAGTAATACAACACAACTACATCTTTTATTTATGTAACATAATTCATTAAATTATAGTCTAATTATAATACTTCATTTTGTTTAAATTTTCAATATTATTTGAGAGTGACTAAATTACTTAATGATAAAGTTTATAAAGCCCACTTTCTCCTATATTAATTCAAATATTTCATTTATGGAAAATAATCTAAGTACAGGAATTTCTTTCTTTTATAAATTTATAGCAGTCATTCAAAAATCTATTAAATTGATGTTAATTTCATTTTTTAAATACACTTTTAAAAAGGAATTTGATGAAACTGGATACAAAATCATTGTGGATGGATGGAAAGAAAAACAAGGACGTGTTGATCTAGGAGACCAGCGATGGGGACTCTTCTATGCTGAGAAACCAACTAAAGTTTAATTAGATTTGAACTAGGTTAACAAATACTAATGGCATTTACTTTTTAAAAAACTTGTTCAACTGTTGATAGATCAATTTGAATTTTCCCTTTAAAATAGTTGATTTACTTAATTTTGCAAATATATCATTGAAACTGAAACTTGAAAGGGCTTATGAGGATGCTAACATTTCATTGATTAAAGAATCTGATCTCATCAAACATTAATTTGTTTTTCTGCAGGTGGAAGTTTTTTTTTTTTTTTTTTTTGGGGGGGGGGGGGGGTTAGCTCTTTTCAAAATAAAATATAAAGATGTATTTTAATTTAAATGTAAGACTTATAGTTATTATACTCTATTCAGTATTATGAAACTAATTTTTAAAAATTTGAAGTGATTACACAGTTCGTGTAACTGTACAGTACCGTTAATGAAGTTCGCAAAGTTTCTAAACTTGATACATGAAGTAACTGGAACAACAATCTTTGCCAGTTGATTCCTTGAGGGAAAAAAATTATTGCTAAACATCGAAAACATAATCTGAGAATAGAGTTGTTCAAGACTTCATACTTAATAGCCTGATGTACTTTTCATTCCTCAAAGTGAGTTTAAGTTAAGTATACTGAAGATGGGATACACTACTTTAAATATGCTTTCTGAAGAAAATAAGTATTTTTAAAAATATATATGTTTTGTAGTTTTTTACATCATATTTTTTGTTTCTTTATATCAGTTATTTGATTCTATGGATCTAATGTACATATGTATAATATGTTTATCTACCTTTGTCATTTCCAATGCAAATAAAACATTCTTAAATGGTCAAACTTTTGTCTGATATGTCCACTATCATTGCACTTTAAAGAAGTATAAGTTATATCTAATCTGTATATCATATATATAAATATCTATAAAATATATACATACATACATTTATAT